ACTCGATCAATCCAAGCATGTCTCAGATACGGATCCAGAACTGAATTCTTTAAAACAAAATGGCCGCCAGTCGGCCATTTCGAACCCGATCCAAAAAAAAAAATGACGTGCATCAAGGTCCTATTATGTTTAATGTATGTACCAAATTTGAACAAAATCCGTCCATGCATAACTGAGATCCGGGTCCGGAATGGTGAAAATGTGCCATTTTGATGCATTTTCGGCCTTAAAATGGCCGCTATTCGGCTATCGTTAATCGGATCATGAAAAAAATGCATGTGCATATGTCCCATATAAGGTGTGATGTATGAGTGAAGTTTGAACATAATCGGTCCATGCATGTTCGAGATACAGGTGATCACGGACGCACGGACGCACACAGGGCAAAACATAAGTCCCCGTTTTCGGACTCCGTCCGAACGGGGACTAACAAATACTGTCTGAATTATTGTAAATGAAGATGTAGTGTACACAACACAAACAAAACTGTCTCATAACAGAAAATGACTGATTCAACACTACAATGAATGTCACAGTATTCTCAAACACCATGCATCGGGAGTTATATGCAGACAATTGTATAATTTTCATCACGATTCTTTTATGTCATTTCTCCACTTACCAATCATCTGGTCACCAGATCCGGCCGGTAGACTTGTACGATGTATCCGCGGTGGTAGTGAGAATCTATCAACTGAAGTAATCTTTTTAGGGGAGCAAGGAGCTGATGTAGTTCCGCCCCCTGTAGGTGGGACTTGAACAGTGAGTGGGGCAGGTAACCCAGCTGGGGTGGCTCTGACATCTTGACCAAAACCCGGTGGCACCAAAATCTATGATTGAAACAGAGTACCAAATAAACTTATCACTTAGAGAGCATTTAATAGTAAACAATTTAGCTAATTACAGACTCTTGAATTTGCAATATCACTTTGGATGATCTGCGGAAAACCTTCCACTGACCCCTTTTGACAAAGGTTTGGAAGTCCACCTAAAATAAAGTTATGCAAAAATCAAAATATACAAATAGCTAGGAATGATTATAACACCAACAAATTGTTGGTTTCGCAGGTGGTTGTCACCTTTTTGGGACTACTTTATTGCATGCATCAAAATACATACTTATGTAATGGTGTTATGTCAACTGATCACCCAAGTGTATTGATATGCAAAAAGTAGTGCCGTCGATGCAACTAAAAATGGTGGGATAAATTAAACAAAAAGTTAAACATGATGTTTCATGTGTTTCTGAGTCAACACTTCACCGATAAAAAAAAAAACGCAATATTCATCCTACCTGTCCATCTATGTAAGCTACTTCATTTCTCATTACAACTCGTCTGACCGTACCATGAACACGACGACCAGCAAATGGCGTCCATTTAGCTTTACTAAATTTAGTATGCTGCGGTATGATCCATTCCTCGTCCAAATCAACTTCAATATAAGTGTCCTTCTGTTCTGGCAAATTAAATATCTTTCTTGGATTGTTGTACAAACGATCAACAATATCCTGAAATACAAAAATTACATTTGTAAGTAAAACAAGCAGCCTGTTGGCCGAGATAGCTTTGCTGGTCGCAATGAACATTTCAATTAATAACAGAAGATATCATTAGAAAATGAACAATATGTACAAGTATCAAAATCACTTTTTACCAAGAACATTCACCAAAAATAGAGAATGTGAGATTTTGACATGAAATGAACAAATCTGAGAAAGAACCATCCAAGGTACTTGCATATCAAATTTAAAAACATTCTGACTTGTGGATTCGAAGATGAAGTTGAAATTGTAAAGTTGACGACGCCGGACAAATGGTAATATGAACAGCTCCGCTGTATCGACTTTGTCAACAGCGGAGCTTAAAAGTACTGTCTAATTTTAACTATAGTGGCTTTATTTACTAAAAGGAAATCAATGATGGTAAGATTATGTATGTAGATGGATTAGAAATGTGGTGGCTAATAATGGTAAGTTGTCTCAAGTAATCACTATTTTATTAATGAAGCCCAACAAAATGACACTTCCCATGGTGCATCCCACCTTAATACTGTAAAACGTGTCTTTTTCGTGAGCATTTCTTTTTAGAGAATTTAGCGAGAGAACTAATTCGCTAATTCAAGATGTCGCTAATGACTTTATTATATAATCAAAATGGCCAAGGCTTGGGGATTTGTATACAGTGATCCGGAACATAAAAATCTGGGCGTTTCCTAATTACACTTGACAGTTTCTCTTTGTTTTTATGGAGGTGATAACTGCGCATTTGTTTTGGCATGCAACAGACAAGTATTGTGAAAACAGGAAATCAACAATGACAAGAGCAGATTTTACTACAATTCATTTTCAACATGTCTTACAGTATGCTCACAGATGTGACAAAAAAAAAATCTGTTGAACTCGTGTAGGAATTTGTCTTTCAAGCATTGCTCCAGATCTGTAATAGATTTCCATTTTGTCCCAGGGGTAATCACAAGAATGACTTTGCTCTTTATGTATTCATCTAAGAATTTCGCTAAGTGGCTCTTACATCAATTGTCAGTCTCCCCTCGTGTACTGCAGTCAGTAACAGTGGTAACATGGTCTCTAATCCTGGGAATCCAGGGGGAGGCTTTGCACTGTTTTTCTCATCTTCAGTATGTGGAGCTGAAATTTGAAAAAAAAAACATTTTTAAAGAAATTAAATATTCAAATATGCATTATAAAATATTTTTGAAAAAGAAGAAGTTACTTACCATGGTCCGTAGCAAAGCAGTCAATAATATCCATATTCTCCCACAATGCATCTTGGTCAGCTTTGGTTCCAAGCATTGGTCTAACCTGACCTCTGCCATGACCTAAGACATCCAGATCTCCAGAGGTCAAAAACAAGTGATGCGGGGCAACTTCACAGGTTACTTGCATTCCACGATCCTTTGCAGCACGAATAATCTCAATCTGAAGAATAAATAAATATGTTCATGACATGAGTGTGCAAGTCTCATGTCACCAACCAGCCCATTAGCATTCATAGCACTCAAATCATTTAGTGGTTGTTAGCCAATGAGCGTTTTTGTTTTTTACTAATTTGGGCTGTCTACCTGCTCGCTATCTGTTCGGATGTCTGTCTTGATGTCCATGTGCGTCTGGATCGTTTTCTCAAATTCTCCAGCAGATATCAATGAAACTTGACAGGTTGATGGAAAATCTGCTTAAAAGGCTCTGTTTTTTGTTTTTTTTTAAATTCGAGAATCCTGGATTTTGTCGTGAAAAAAGTTGATTTTGGTGCTTAATGGGTTAAAACAATGAGAATTACGCTTAAATCTTGCCACATTAAAATCAAAATTCTACAAATATACCGACTGTGTGCGACATAAAAATACAGTACTCCATTCATTCTGATTCTCAAAAAAAAAAATGGAAGATTTTTCGGGGCACCAGACGTATTACCAATTTTCATAATAAAATATGGTCAACATCTTTCCTTTTATACAACCAGAGCAAATGACTCACCTCTTCTTTTTTGGCTACGTGAGCAATATGCACGGGTCTGTCATGGAGTTCAGCAATAAATAGTATGGCAGCGGTAGTTCGTCCCTCAGCGTGGGCCACAATAGGCATGTGACTTGGCCAGTTATCAAAGTGCTGTTAAAAATTTAATTTTAAGAAAACATGGGTATCTTTAAACAAATTGGCTTTATTTTTAAATTACTCATGAATAAATATGTGAGTGAATCAGGTTAATATTTAACAAAAAGCAATTAGAAAAAATATTAAACAAAATTCTCCTGAAATCTTTGAGTTTAATCATTAACCCTCACCTGGTCAGGTCAATGAATTGTAGATGAAGGTTAAATAATTTATCAACAAATTTAAATTTTTGTACAAAAGCTTATTATTGTAGTATCGTATAGTATACAACTATAGTGAGCTTGGAGAACTCATTCAAGTAGGTTTGTGAAAAGAGGTTCAGTTTTGTTTTTCTTCACACAATCTCACTCATTGAAATGTCAACAATGTGGTACAATCAAACGATTAAATTAAATCAAGTTTCATCACCTTCATCCATGTGGACATATCGTCCAGTCTGAGTGATGTAAATGTCTCATTCAAGTACATTTTCAATCCCGCAGAATTGGATGCGATCTTCGGTAAAGTTTCGGCATTATCAGGTCCAGCACCCAGATACAATCCATAATCGCACCGGGCACCAATTCTTGCCAACTACCAAGAGTAAAACAAACAAAAATTTATGAATAAACAAATACCAGAGAAAAGAACAATGGTGATGTTAGCTCTGATTAATTTTGTCATTGTTACCAGGTAACTGAATGTATGAATCGGAAACTCTTAAAATAGTCTTGTTTATAATCTACACTTTTGGGACAAAAAAAAGTCAAATTTTTTTGAGTAAAAACTGAAAATTGACTCAAATTTTGTCTGTTGGCCCGAAATGTTAGGGTTCATTTCCATTTCCATTGAAAAATATTAGAAAATAGTACAAATTTGGCGGGAAATCTGGTGACGAAAAGGTTAAGAAAGTTTCCTTAATTTTTGTTATTTTATGCTGTTGCTTACAAAACCTTGTAAGAAATGTATGCTCACTATTGAAATAAGATGTGTCCTGTGGTAAAAATATTGCGCAATTTCATTCACGTACACATGTTTGTCTCAAGTTGTTTGGGAAATTTTGACAAATACTATTCACCACATGATAATTTCACTTGAAAGCGCGGTAGTCGTCGCCACACTTGTGTTGATAAACATTGATTTTCCCACAATCCAATGTGCTCTTCAAATGGAAATCACAAGAATGAGGTTTGACCTTGGTGCGACTTGCACTGATTACCGCCAGTGACTCCTTCGATACCTTCCAATAACATGAAAATTACTTAATTGAAGCTTGGAAACGTCTTAGTTCGTACTCGTTGATCTGCGCAACAGTCAAAGTCGCCATGACGACAACTACCGCGCTTTAAAATTTATTAAACTGTTGTGCCTTAAAATCAACAGACAAAATCTTTTCAAAATAGTATAGACTGGAAAAATTATAATAATGTGGTCTTCTTGCTACATGGTGATATGTAATACATACAAATTAAACAATTCATCAAACGGAGAGAAAAAATTTAAACACTGTGCTATTCAACCTACAGGTAAACCTTACAGCCAGTTTATATTCAGAATGGAAACAGCAGGGAAACAATTGTTGTCTTGTGTGCCTTAATGCAATAGCCACTTGTTAACCCTAGTCAAAAACATTGTTGAGACAACATCAATAGATTCTATTGCCGTTATATGACTATTGGGGCTTGTCACATCAAGATGCAATATGGATGAGAATGCGCCTTGGAAAGCAGGTTCCAAAAAGAAAAGCAGAATTTACACGGAAAAAAAAAAAACAATCACAGGAAAAGGTATCACTAAAATCCTGACAACTCACGACTAACCTTGTGTGCCAGTGCAAACGATGCTTTATCAGTGACTGGTGGGTTGGTATTGGGCATTACTAACACCGAAGTAACGCCACCAGCCAGTGCTGCGGCAGTACCAGATGCAAAGTCCTCCTTGTGTGTAGCTCCCGGTTCACGTAGATGCACGTGAATGTCAATCAATCCGGGTAATCTGACAACACGTGATGACGCAATAACGTCAATGTGAGTTTTCATTGGTGGAGCCCCGCCAACACGTCGTAATGCCTGAAAAAAAATATATATAAAAATTTGAGATGAGAAAAGTGAGACAAAGTAAAAGTTATACACAACTATGTGATCTGGGACACTGCTTGTAATTCATACCATAATCTATCAATTTAACGCCGAAGCCAGGTAAAATGCAAACCATTCCAAAATTTGACTAGTCATAATATGTCTATTTTTTTTTTTGTAAAAAAACATTCATATACACTTACGATGTTAATGACACTGTATAATACTTCCCTGAAGGGCTGGGGTGATTCAATAAAAAGGTAAAATCCAGTAAATATATTTTCCCTATATTTTACATTCAACTAATCAACAAATCAAACCAAAAGACTTTAAATTAATTCCAGATAAGATAAAGTATTTTACAGTAAAATGTCATATAAAAAATACAGGAATATTTGTACGATTTTTGGGGGAGATGTTGTCCCTGAAAATGCCCGTTTTGGTTAGTGCTCAAAAGCGCATTTATACATAAAATTTTCTCAAAGACGTCAGCAGACACTCGTCATTACCACCAGTTTTAGATCAATCTGAGCTGCAGGTAGGGATTAATGCTACTTTTGGTGAATATCACAAGTGACACAAGTGACTGCTGACGTAAACCTGAGAGAAAATACAGTGGGATTATATTTATTACATGCATATTTCTACACTACGAAGTAAAACGACCAAGTGTCGATAATGGATTAATAGCACCAAATACAAATACATGATTGTTTGCTCCTTATATGCTAATTTTGTCAACGTCACATTTCATACCTTTCGTATGCTATGTTGTGATTCTGGTTGTTTGTAATATTTGCTCGATTTTTATTTGAAATTTCAGCAAATTTTTTTTGAGGGACTGAATAACCCTCTGAAAATTCACACTTGAACTTGCCAAAATGAAGTGTTATTAGCACAATCCATAGCTTTCTGACCGTATAAAAACCTGAAAGCTCCAAACAACCATCAGGCAGCGCATACAACGAAAAACGTATGGCAATGTACGACTTCACATTGTGGGCAAACAATGAAGTTTTTGATCTGCCTTGTGTGCCCCACGTTACAGTGGAGCGATATGAAAGCGACAATGAAATTAATCATATTATCAGCTTTGCCTTGGTTGATACCATCAAAAAATTCATTACTCACCTCTACAAACAACTTTGTTTTCTTAACATCAGTAATTAGCGGAATTTCTTTATCTACAGCCATGCGCCGAGTACGGTAGCCATGCGTAATAAAGTGAGATGCTCGGCGTGATCCTCCATTCCTCATTGGTAGATTGATTACCAAATCAAACTGTTTCTCAACCAGATAGTCTGCGATGCTACGCTGTGAATGTCCACTGTCTCCATTGTCCTCAAACGGCCAATCAATTGACTCAATCTTAATAAGTTTAAAGAAATGTGAATTAGTACAAAACAAATAAATTTACGTTGAAGGTCAATCGAGAATACATTGTGTCATAGGTCCCATCTCGACATAATAACTACATTCTATTTGACAATTGTACAGGTTGTCATCAACAGTCATTGTTGTATGTGTTGACATGTGCTACTAATAAGGTTTGTATAAAAAGTGTTACAACATATACTATATTAACCTAGGTTGTTTTATGTGTTGACCTGACCCTGAAGTTCAATGAAAGGTCATGTTGATATTCTAGTTCAATCTGTTACAATGTCAGTTTAATCCAAGTTTAATAAGCTACCTTCACTTCATCGTCAACATGACAGACGACTGCAATACATATCATTATTTGAGTGAAACGCCTGTGACAGATGGTATACACTATAAAACCATTTATTTTCGCTTGGTTTTAAGTTCACAAAATTGGCCAGTGAAACAATAAGTTCTATTGTAACACTACAAGTTCACATGGATACAATTTAGCGAATCTCACTTAACAATATTAATCAAAGAAAGCTTAGAAAGAACTCCCATGTGCTGAGAGTATTGGAGACACAAAATTACTTGAACTTGAGATATTGATGAAAACGCAGAAAACTAATTATGCAAATAAGGTCTGCACAATGTACCAAGTTTCATTGAAATATGATTAGAACCAAAAAATTATTAACTATTATGCTAATTAGAAAATTAATATGAACAGATTTTAACCCAAAATTAGGGACGACGTCAAACGATCGAAACTTATTTGCTTTAGTTTAGGGGTGGGGGGGTGGGGTTTTGACCTCAAAAAGTTTCTATTCTACAAAAACGATTTTATTATTTTTTAATGAAGTCAAAAAAATACTGGAGTATTTGTAATTCGTTTTTTTCTCTATCCAATCATGGACAAAAATGAAAATCAAAGAAAGCTTAGAAAGAACTCCCATGTGCTGAGAGTATTGGAGACACATTAAATATAATTCGAAATTACTTAGCTGAAAACTAATTATGCAAATCAGAAAATTAATATGACCAGATTTGAGTGTAAAACTAATGAGGTCTGCGCAATGTAACAGAAAATCTATGTCTCCAAGTTTAATTGAAATGTGATTAGAACCAAAAAATTATGAATTATTATGCTTATTAGGGAATTAATATGAACAGATTTTTACCCCAAACTAATTAGGTTTGTACATTGTCCTACAGCATCTTTGTACTAAGTTTCATTGAAA